CGCGGCTGCGCCGACGCGCGAGCGCCCGGCACCGCGGCGAGTGCGCTCAGTCCGGCGGCGGCCGTGCGCGAACTGACGTGCTCCGAGCGCTGCAGCCGCCCCGCCGCCCGCAGCCTCCCGGTCGCACGGGCAGCCCTGCCCGGCCGCCCGCCATGGTGTCATGGATCATCTCCAGGCTGGTGGTGTAAGTGGCCTTCGTCCCCGCGTCCCTTCCCGCTCGTCCTTCTCCGCCCCCGGCCCCGGGGCTGCGCCCGCCCCCCTGCGCTGCGGCTATTAATACCCGGCGGCCTCTAATTTTAGTAGGTACAGTAGCTGCTGAGGTCGCCGGCGAGCGGGCGGCGCCGGACGCGGCTGCTGCCCTGCGGGGCCCGGCGGGCGCTCGGGGGGCCGGCGGGCGGGGCCGCCAAGGCTGGGGCGCACGGGGCCTCCCCGGTGGCTCGGCTCGCCGCGCCCTGCCGCTTTGTTCCCCGGGTTGGTGGGATTTGCGGAGGCCCGGAATGGGCGCGCCGCGGTGACAAGCGACTCTCTCCTTTTGGGAGGAATGCTGGGGTCGCCCGTCGCCGCACCCTGCCGGCCGCCACGCTTTTGTGGGGCGAAAATGACAGACAGAGCTCGGACGAGCCTGCGGCGCTGCCTGGAGGGGTCAGCGCGGAGAAGGGTGGAGAGATGGAGGCGGGGCTCCCAGTGGGGATGAAAACATACTCCTTTTTAGGTTTCTCACATTGACAGCGGTGAAGACAACAGTCCCCCAGGTCTGATTCTCTTGGGGGGGGGGGTTTGAGGGAGAGAGAGGAGCAGCCATCTCTTGGAATTCACTGGAAATTTCCAATTGACAGGTAGCCACCTGGATGGTGGCAATGACACCTCCCAGGCCCTTGCAGGAGAGCACAGAGTCATCTGGGGTGAGGCCTGTGTGAAGTCATTGGGGGTGGGGGTGGGGGGTGTTTTTCTCTGTCAAGCTCTAGAACTGAGTAGACATTTGAAGATCTCCTCCCCTTGTGGGTTTATTCCCCTTTGGAGATAGACACGGCTGTTCAGTTCTTCTCTTTTCCTAACCATTCTTGCCTGAGTCAGGACAGATTCAGACACCTGTTCAGGAGAGCTGGAGTTTCAGTTGGTCTGGGGAGTGGGGGCGAGAGAGGGGTGTCTCAGGCTTTTTCTTTGTCTGAGAAAGAGGTGCTCCAGACTCCGGTTGATTGTGCACCATCACTCCCTGTGTTTTGAAACATCTCCTGTCTTCTGCAGCTCTTCACTGATTTTCAAAGAAGCAGCCAGTAGCAGCCTTCTGAAGTTGTTCTTAGCATTGTCTCCTGGCCACCATTCTGGGCTTTCCTGCCAAAGCCAGAGTGTGTGTGCCTCTCAGCCCCCAAGTCTTTCATTCCATGCAGGCCTCCCCACAGCTGTTGCTGACTGCTGGGGGTTTGTGCTGTACCTGGAGGTGGCATGTTGAATATTTAGAAGATTTCTGAGGGCAGAGCTGGCATGAATAATACAGGGAAGAAGCTGGCACGCCTTGCCCCACCCCTTGCCTGACCACAGCCTGTCTTGCCTTCAGGATGGTATTTTTTCTCCTGAAGTAGTGCTGTGATCTTGGTATTTGCCAGTGGCTTCTGGGGAGAGGAGAGGAGGGGACCCTCAGGTGGAGCCAGAGGGTTTAAGTGGTCTGTTGGCCTGGCTGGAGGGCACAATCTCTGTAGATACTACTGGTATCTGGTCTAGGGTCCATGTGACCATTTTTAGTTTTATTCACACACACCCCTAACTGTACAAGGCAGTTGAGGGGGGGTGGATAGGAGAGGCATGTATTTGGGAGGGGTCTCAGGGACTTGCTTTTACTTTGTAAAACAACCACACTTCCCAGAAGTGAAGTTCAGAGAACTTAAATGACTGTGAGAATTGCCCGACAGGTCAGCTCAGGACTCTCTCAAGGGAGAGTTTGTGGGATGTGGGGTTGTTATTCCCACTCTGAACTCCAAAAGGTTATAGATACCACCTGTCCCCCAAACCCCTAGTTCTCCATAGCAACCCAACAAGGAAGTGTCGGTTCGGAATGATTAAAACCACTTTAATAAGTAGTACGTGTTTTATGTAAATAATACCTGTTCATTATAGAAAAATTAGAAAATATAGGTGAATAGACTGAAAACCACCCACCTTATTACCACACAGAGATAGCTAATGACAATTTTGAGAGGTATATTCTTCAAAATATTTTTCCCTATGTATATATGCGTTCATGTTTATATTTACAATTGAAGGAAAATATCAACTCAGCACAAATTTCCATATTCCTCTTAGCAAGTAGTAGGAATACCATGTTTGGAGTCAGGAAACGGTTCAAATCCCAGTTCTGCCCCTTGCCAAAAAATTGCAGTTCACGAGAGAGCCTAGTTCACAGGCTAGTTCACCTCATGTTACTGTTGCAGAGATTTCAATGACACATGATATATAAATTGCCAAGCACCATGAAGAGCATTAAATCTATGATTCCTTCTTTTGTCCTCTCAGATACCTGAGAGGGTATAAAAGTTCTGGAAGGGGCTCTCAGACTTAATCTACTCATTTGGTTTTCGAACTAGCTTCCCTGAGGGCCACCCAGCCAGCCTTGATTCAGCACAAGCAGCTCCCCTTTTGTTTGTTTTATATGTTGGGGTTCTTGATAAAATATAATTTGCAAATGATGTGGATTTTACCTAATAAAAACCACTGCTCAGGTCCTCCCTTCTCACCTGTAAAGCTGTAGAGGATGTGTGCCTTTCCCAAGAACATGAGGTGAGCTGGTGAAGAAAACAGGCTCTGGATTTTTGGTCCAATACCCTTTACACTTCTGCCTGGCCTTGACAGTGGTCTTAAATTGATCTCTGTCAAGCTCCCAAACCTCTGGTATGGCATCCTATGACTTTTGTCCACAAGTCCCATTTCCTGTAAACAGTCTTTTCATGATTGTGTAAGCCTCTGTCACATCAAAGAACATTTATTTATTTATTTATTTATTTGCTAGGCACTGAGCTCGGTACCTTTTTATTTTTTTTTTAAAGATTTTTATTGGCAAATTGGGGGATGGGAACAGCGCTGGAGAATTGGGGGAAGGGGAACAGACAAGTTGCTGTCTTTTTGTTCTTCAGTCTAGTTGTGGAGGACGTTGCTTCACTGGCCGAAGTTTGCACCATCGTTGCGCTCTTCCTGGGCGAGGCAGATCAGTTGCCGGTTTCTGGACAGCCGCTCACGGAGGCTGCTGGCCGGTCACGCTGGCTGCTGGCTACACATGGTAGCCCATGGCAACCCACTGCAGCAATGGCTGCAGCCTATGCCATTGCAGGTGACTCACAGCAGCCCAGCTCCAGGTTGAGCTGTTGTTCAGCATCTTAGCTGTAGAGGGCAGTGTCACTGGCCCTCATATGTGGGATCTGAACCGGGTCCCTCTGGCATCCCAAGTCAGCTCTTAACTACCGCGCCACTCAGCTGGCCCTCAAGGAACACTTAAGGAAGAACCTATCACTGTGTTCTGAGGAGGGTCTTCCTTCGAACCAGAGGCCTCAAGAAAAGCTGATAGTATCTAGGGACAGCCAGCTTGTGGATGTCTGTGTTGCCATTGGCTGTGAATGTTTTAAGGCAATGATCATGGCTTATTTACTTCTCCAAACCCTTGCCCCCTCTCAAGGCTCTTTTCTGAAGTAGTACCTGGTACCTGAGTGCACTCAGTGAAGGTTGGCTGTGTTGAAGGAGATCAGAGGTCCTGGGGTAAGCAGGGAGGCTGGAGATGGAGGTCAGTGGCCACAAGTCAGTGGCCATCAGGACAGACTTGTGCCCACTGGGCAAAGACCTTGGACTGAAGGCCAGTTTGAGAGGCCACTTTCTTGCCAGCTGTCTTCCTCCTAACTCTCTTGGCTCAACCTAGGAAGAATTAGGGAAGAGATACTGAGTACAGTAGCAAGGTTGGCCTTGTTAGAATCTGGTTGATATCTGCATGCAACATTGGAGCTCATTTAGGACTGACCTGCATGCCTTCTGTAAAATACTTTATTTCCTTTACAAACAACTTAAAACCTAGGCAGGAATGAATTTCAACCGGGGAGAGTATGTTCATGTGCACTGGAGGGGTGCACAGAGATTTCTTTGTGCCTTTTTGGGAGAATGCTCTGCTTTAAAGCATTTATCCAAGGAGCAGGTGTTGCCTTATTGTGGACATAATTTTGGCCAAGGCCCAGAATGTTGGGTCCAGAGCATCCCATTACTGATGGGATCAGTTGACCAAAACTCTAACTCACTGCATGGGGGAAAAGCGAGTCCTACTTCAACAAATTTTCTTAATAACTAACAGCAATGCAGAAAAACAAACCTTATTTGCACATTGCATATCTTTTGTAAAATGTTAGTTTTTAGAAACTACAGTCTGATATTTAAAACAGAATCTTCGCTTGATGGCTGAAGATCTGGCTAAGTGTTAGGACTGTGACTGGAGCATGAAGTCTGTGTGCCCTGGGTCAGCGTGTACAGGTAAAGGAGACTGGAAGGAATGAGGCTTGTCTTCAAGATGTTCCCCAACTGTTGCAACACAAACGGAGGAGGAGGGGGGGAGAGGAATGAATGAATGAAAGAAAGAAAGAGAGAGAGAGAGAGAGAGAGAGAGAGAGAAAGAAAGAAAGAAAAGAAAGAAAGCCATAAATTCTTAAACATAAGCTTGCCTTTCTTTGGGGCCTGCTTTTAAAATGTGGAATGCAGAAAACGATACTGTTAATGGAGGGTTCAAGTGGGCTGAGGAGTTATTTCTTGGCACTGTGGTGCAATACAGGATAGGAGCTGGGTAAACGTTTCAGTAGTTGTGAGAGGAAAGCCGTTGGGCTAGAATTCATCATACTTGGGTGCTAGCCACAGGGCTGGTCTGAGCCAACGTCAGAGTCCTAAGGGCAGCTCTCACCCGCCCTGGCTTGCAGCTTCCTATCTATGAGATAAGGGTGGTGGCCAGCATTACCTTTGAGGTCTTAATAGTTTGAAGAGACATTGCTCCAGTAGTCCCCCCTCCCCTCTTGCACCTGCTGAGCACCATGTTTATTGATTATAAACAGGAGTAGCCGCCTCAAGGAAGTGAAAAATACTAGTTTAGATTTCTGCTGTTCTGCTGCCCTGTTCTTTGTTTGTTAATCCTGCCTGCCTGCTGTGAAGTAGCTTTGGTGCACTTCTTCC